TATATATATATATATATATATACTATCTTATATTTATACAAAAATATATTATTATAAACTACGTATTTTTCTTTTATTTGAATTTTACAAGTTTCAAAATAGTTTGAATAACTCGTTCAAAGAATTAGATAGAAGATATTGAGTCAAACATTATGATAAAAAAATTTTTCATAAATAAATTCATCTAGCAAATATTCCTTTTATCGTATTATTAAACCAATATTTTATATACATCACAAAACTTTTAGTTGCATTTTAATTTTTAACTATTATATGAATAGTCGCATATTTATGTATGTAAAATACATAAATATGCGACAAAATTGTGCAATCCAACAAATATGAATTCAAATACACGAAATGTTTCGTAGTTTAAAATAATCTTAACATAAATAAATATAAGTGAAAGTCATAGCTATAGAATAAAGTGCCTTTTATCACGTTTAAAAATTTTTTGTAATTATAGAATAATACCGTGAATTATGGTGCTATAATAATTTTAATAAACAAAGACATGTAAATGTAATGCACTCTCATTAAAAATTTGAGCATGTGTATTATAAAATACATGGTCATAGATATTTTTAAATGTATGTAAAAACTGTGCCATGACGATATAATGAAATATGTGTCATTAAGTAATAGCTTCTATTTAATAAAATGTTTATTCCTTCGATCATGTTTATTATTCTTTCATTCAAATCATAATGAACTTTAAATACTCAATATATCATAATCAATAATATGTAACCACTTATTAATAAAAATATACAGCATACACAGTAGCCACGCAGAATATTGTATCCTGAAAAAATGTTATTGTCTTTGTATCTATTTGCTTATTAAATGTTTAAAATTTCTTTTAGAAATAACTAACTTTTTAATTATTAAAATCTATAAACTTAATTATTAAATAGTAAACAATATATCTTTAGAAATGTTTATTTTAAAATTAGTGCAATAAGATATTCTGAATTTCTGAGATACTATTTTTAAGAATATAGTTTGTATTTAAATATAATATTTAAATAAATTAATTGTGCAATTCTTACATTTAAGAAACTATCATACGCATATGCATCTGCCTCTGCATCCCAAATACATCTTGTACCCATTTTTACCCCAGCACCATGCTGTTCACCCAAAACCACATTCACAATGTATTTGTATCGTTTGAACTTTAACTCTAAAAGTATATAAGAAATTATTTAGAATTCAAGATCATCTAATTGTGATCACCTACGTGAATTTTTATTTAATAAGCACATTTATTTTAGAAGAATGAATTTCACCTTTAACTTTCTCTCTAATTAGATCTGCTATATCTTTAGTCCATTGAGCAGCTTCCTGAGCATCATACGTTTTTGCAGAAAGCTGATCAAATAGCACATTATGTATAACTTCTTTAGCGCTTAAAGGTTTAAACCTGTATCGAAAATCTTTTGTTAAACTACTAGACTTTGTTAAACTACCATTCAATAAACTACATGCATATATTATTCAATTAACTATTTCTAACAACAACAACCTATGTTCTGTGTAAAATGTCTTTCATATATTATTTATAATATATGTAATATATGTAATTAAATGCATAAATATACTTTGAAATGCTTAAGAATAAAAAATTCTTCTAATAGCATATCACATGTAATGAAATAATATCATGCATAACAAATGATCATGCCCTTGAGACATACTATCAAAAATTTTTAAACTAAAAGAATATAACTTAATATTAGAAAATATAGATATAATTAATAAGTACTTCTCATGTAATTGCGGACGTATTTGATAAACTGGTTCTGCCGTCGCCGTGTCTTCTAGTATCTCCACGTTCAATCTTGATTTTTCGTCTTTTTGAAATCTCTCTGGTATTCCTTCTTGAATCTCGCCTACTTCTACCTCTTCTGAAGCAATAGTAGCTTTGCTTCCAACGTATTCTGCCATTATTTTTAATGAAAGTTTAGGATTTGTTTGTAAACATATAAAATATTTTCTAGGTTAGGTTTAGGTTAGTTCTACTCAATCAATCACACCAAATAACACGAATGAACAGAGAAAGCAGTTTCCTCTAACAAGCATTGCTAGACGCTTGGTGAGACATCTATCACATTAAATGTTACTAATATCTCAAATTTATCACATCGAATAAGCAGAACGCGTCGCTATTTGGCGGAAAATTTGAATTCAACATAATGGAAAACTGCTTACTTATGAAAAGAGAAATTATAATTATACTTTCTACTTCAATTTAATTATTATATTAAGTAATATTAATTACTTTGATTAATTGAAAATGAATAAAATTTGTTGTTATATCGGCGGATTCATACATATTACCGTTGATTAACGACAGAAATATTACAATCATTTAACAAATACTTAACATATACTTTTAATTTAACTAATATTACTTTTCATAAAACATCCTGTTCACATTCGTAGAGAGTATATTCCTTTTATTTCATCTATTATTTCTAAATCAATTTACTGCTTACTAAATTAATTTTATATTCAGTAATGAATAAAAATTCAATCAAATTATTCAATAATTATTCAACATTAACTCAATTTTAAATTTCATTTTCAAAATTATAAGATGTTAGTTAAAAATTTTACGGAGTACTTACACGAAGACATAGAAGACTGTGAATGATCAGCGACCATAAGAACCAGAAGTAGTATGCCATGTATTGTATGCCGTGTCAGCCTTATATAGGGCTGACACTTTGTACTCTTCCCAATCACGTGATTCCATTTTTGGCTTAGGTGGGTCGGTCAGTTCTATAAAGTAATAATTCAGAATTACTTTACGGGCTTAACGGCATTACTTTATGGGCCTAACTCCCCAGGGATGCGTCCCTTACATTACTTCCTTACCAGTGTTAACATTGTACATTTATTGCCTCTGGTAGACCCAAGGCCGAAGAAACGCATCACAAATAATCAAAATCGAAACAAATCTAACATTAATGTTCCACACGGATACAATAACAATTAAATAATGAAAACATAAATTTCTAAGAAGAATAACTTTATTTAACTCGCAATAGTAATTTATTTGCCTGTTAGGCACGGATCTTTATTTCTATTTTTGCAAGAATATCATCTTCCAAGTGAGAATTTTTAACAATTCTCACAAAGTTTTTCGATTGCTAATCGATACAAATAACAGTACAATACAATTGACGCGTTCCTTATGCACGTGCTCATACAATCTTCGCTGTTTCGCTCAAATCGTATAGAACATAATAATCTTATAAGCTCTGTTTGCTGTGCATGCAACAATGTACATGTTCATTCGAATTGTTTTATCTAAACAGCACGTTAGCATTTCAGTACCGGCGAATAAAAACACTCAGGTAACCTTGCGTTTAATAGAACAGAAAATGCAAGCAATTGCGAACTTTGAACGATTTCAGTCCAAAATATTCGTTGATTGAAATCTCTCCGTTTGATTCTCGCGTTTAGGCCCTAACAAGGTTTACAGTAACACACTACGAAATTTTCATCGTCGATTATGCGATATTGGTAATTCTTGTAGATGGTGAAGTCCAATTCACGCATTTGATCCAAATGATCGTAGATTTTCCGGATCACTGGCGGAAGACTCGGAATGTTCGCAGCAGCGGCTATTTCGTCGTAGTAAGCCCATTGTCGTTCCTTTAGTTTGGTGATATGTCTTAACTGTAAAAATGTTAGTTTTCCTTTTTATTTCTTAATTGTCTTTCGGATATTGGAGTAAAAGTAGAGTAGTTGAGTAGTATTTTATAAAAGTATAAAAGGAAACAAAATTTTTCTTATAATTTATTTCAAAATTATTTACTAATTTGAAGAGTATTAACTGCTATTATTAGGCAGTTGACTATTACAGTTTATATTTAAATTACTTAATTTTGGAGTCTTTCATTTATTTAATTTTATTACTGATCTCTATTATGAAATCTATTAGGCAATATATCAGTTGCCTTTAATTTGGTGCTTAATTCAAAATTAGTTTGGTGTTGAATTATTATACATTTATATGGTGTAAGTTATTAAAAGAAATAATATATTTTTTTAAATTTTTCAATTAAAAATTTTCAATAGTAATTTAAATGTATCTGATTAAGAATAAACGCAAGAATTTATTTTATAATGCGCAATAATTAAAAAAACAATTTTCTATTGAAATGATCGTAAAGCAAAGCCAATAAATAAATGGCAAGTTTGTTCAAAAGGGACATAAAATATTCAATAATATCAAATATCATAAATTCTAATATAATCTGATATAATTTACTTTATTTTTCTACAATACAATTAACTAAGGATTAATTGTAATTTCTGAAAGTAACATCATTTAAATGAAATTTTAACATATTGCTTTAATGCTGTTATGTAATATAGTAATTGATCATTAATATTTAATATCTTTCAGAATAGTCTTTTTTAAGACGTATAAATAAAAGACGGAGAAATCAAGCCATTCTCCATTAAAAATGGACTTGAGTCATACGAATATACTTTCTTTGTCAATGGAAATCAACTATCTAGGCAACATTCTAAACGTGAGGGACACATAGGCACTTAGGCAGTATTGTTAGGCCCATAAGGAAATTGCGAGCATTGTCCAATAGTGCAGTTAAACCTATCCTAAAAGATTTTAAAAGTACTATCTTAAACCTACTTTAAAGGGTTTAATTGCACCGTTGGTTAAGATCATTTTTCACAATTATTTCATGGGCCTTTATGCATACTGCCCAAGTACCTAAATAGTAGTACAAAAACCTTCGCATAATCGAGAAAGGCACAAAGAAAGTCGGCTTTACATAAAGGCGACATATTATAAAAATAAATAAAGAATAAATTAAATAGCATGAGGTATGCTTATTACTGAAAAGCATATAAGATTAGATATTAGAAAGATATTAGAAAAGCATATGAGATTATATCAAAGAAAGATTAATGAAATCTTTACCGGAATTCCAAGATCGAGAAGAGCTTTCTTCTCCATTTCATACTCTTCACGCATTTGCTCAGTGGCTGGTAGCTTAATTCGACTTTCGAGAATGCCTAAAATATACTGAGCTTGCAGATGGAACATAGGAAACGGAATTACTAGCCCAGGCAGTCCCATTATGAATAAATTCGGGTAATCCATGTGTATTAGGTATTTGTAAATTGGCTCGACATGGTTGTCGTCCGTACGTATCTCAACTTTAGTTGACATAAAGGGATACGTAAATTTATAGCCTGAAAAACATAAAATTTTGTCGAAATCAGTGCATTGATTGACGATCGAATTGAGGAGGTCAGGGTCCTACCGAGCGAATAAATAATCTACAAGGATTTGGAATAATTAATTGTATCAAATTTTAGAAAATAATTAATAATTTAATACTTTAAGTTGAATTATTGAAAAAAAAAGCAACACGAACTCCAAGAGAATGAGATTATTATATATTGGAATAAATAAACCAAATAATTTATAATGAAAACAAAGTATGATATTTAAATTGAAGCATTATACTGTCCTTAGTTAAAATATTCTATCTATTATATTATTTTTTTATTTGTATTGTTAAATTTTAAAAATATTATCATTATGAAATTCATGTTATAGATTATGAAACATTTCATTGTTTCAAATATTTAAAATACTTGGAAACACGAGAGAAATTTTATTAAATATATAGATAGAATATTTTATCTGAGGCAATGTAGCATTTTCATTATTTAAATTCAGGCCTGAAGATAATTCGACAGAGCCCTGACAATTTTCATTTACTTGTGTATAATTAATTTGGGATACCTCAATCATTTATATGTACGAGGGAGATCAAGTCTTTTTACCGGTGCAATAAATGAAGTTGTCTACTTCAGCAGTGGAACCATCACGGAAAATGAATATGTTTCCTTGAATCGATTGGATTCCAGGTCTCTGTTCTACGTTTTCCAACATTTTCAAATCGATTGATTCCGGCAGATCATGGCTTAAGTATACCTGCATTGAAGGGAATAAAACTAACTCTTAATAATATAGAAATTATACAATATATAAAAAATAATATAGAAATTACAAGAAATTTTATATTTGTGTATTTTAAAGTGCACAGAATGCACATAACATGTAAAAGTGTATAAAATATTTAATGTATAATATTCAATAACTATTTTATCTAGTTTCTGCCATGTTTTTAATTAATACTTCATTGAATACACTTTGCGATAATTATAATCAGAGATTATACTGTTGTCTGATATAATGTATATTTTGTTAAAATATATAAATTTCTAAAAAATGTGCAAATGTACAAATTTATAAAAAAAAAATTAACTCATAACATGCAAATAATTGTATATTATACTAGAAATATATAAAAAGATTTCTTTATAGAAGCTAAAGTTAAAGGTAAAGTTTGTTAATTTATAGAACGATAAACGTATTAAATAACATTTTCTAAATACCTTTTCGGCATACTGCGAGACCTCTAAGGCGATATCTATACCAGACCAAGATGCACCGAGAATGCAAACTTTTTTCCTAGCATATACTTCTGGTACTCTGTACTGATGACTATGAATAGTTCCACCGGGGAAACTTTCAGTACCTGGAATGTGTGGAACATGGCCTACAGTGTAATGGCCATTACACAACACTACGGCGTCGAACGTTTTCGTTGTTTTTATTTTGCTTTGCAAATCCTCGTACGTGATCATCCAGATCGTCTGGCCGTTTGGCAAAGTATCTGGTTCCACGTGTTTTACTACTGTATTCAACTAAAACACAATATTAATAATTAACATATTAATGATAAATTTAATTACTCAAAAGGAATCAAATGTATGAAAATTATTGAAATGTATGAATATAAAGGAATCAAACATATGAAAATTATAATATAAGTATGAGAATGTGTTATACTCTTCTTATGTTGAGAGAGTTTAACAATTTCATTATTTACGAGAAGTTGAACGACTCATACATCAGGTTCGAAAATTGAGATTTTATATTTTAGTGATATATTTTATAATTTGATTGATCAGTTTCCATTACCTTTATATGTG